TGCATGCCTGAGGCCCTGGGTTTGATTCCTCAGCACCACATAAGCAAAAAGAAAAAAGCCAGAAGTGGCGCTGTGGCTCAAGTGGTAGAGAGCTAACCTTGAGCTGAAGAGCTGAGGGACAGCGCCCAGGCCCAGAGTTCAGGCCCCACAACCAGACCCAAAACAAACAAACAAACTTAAGTTCCTTATATTTGTAGGACACAGTTTTTAAAGAAAATTGCATTTGTCCTTGATCTATATTTCTCATGCTATATTTGATAGGATAGAAATGAATTGAAATAGTCTTCACAAGATATTAGCTTCCTGCCTCTTTTTTTTTTCCGGGGGGAAGTGGTCCCTCAAATGTCCATCTGTCTTCAAAACAGATGATTGACTGGGCTTATCTACCAAGATGAAATAAACTGCGTCTAAGCCAAGGGTGGTGACAGGCGTCCGTAAGCCCAGCACACAGGAGGTCGAAGCAGGAGGACTGCGAGGTCTCCGCTGGCCTGGTCCTGTGGTTGTGTAGTCAGACCTTTCTGTCTCAGCCACAGGTCAGCCTGGGCACGTCTCCTCCCCCACACTTGGCCGCTGCCCTTTCCTCCTAGAACTATCTGTGTTTGAGTTTAGGCGGGTGCTCTACTGCGGAGCCGCGCCCCCGGGCCGGTTTTCCACAGGTTATTTTTGAGATAGACTCTGGCTTCCCGCCTGAGCTGCCCCTGAGCTGTGGTCCACCTGCGTCCGTCTCTCATCACTGCAGACACTGCCACTCTCAGCTTCTCTCCTTGGGGATTGAGTCTTTCAATCTTCTCTGGGCAGGCGGGCCTTGAACCAAGATCCCCGCGTTCTTGGCCTCCCATCGAGCCTAGGATGCAACCACACTCAGCTGTGGGTTGGGAGGGGATCTCCCAAAATGTTCTGCCTTGGCTTGCCTCAAACTACATCTTCCCAAACTCTGCCTCTCAGGAAACTAGAGTGAGCCACGGGGGCCTGGCTTAACATGGTCTTCTTATCAAGCTCATAGTTCTGCTCAAGAGAGAGCAGAACTTCCCAACCAGATTCTAAAGAACAACCCATGTCCCTCATTTAGAAAAACAAATTGTCCACGTTGTGTTCTAGAGGTCCTTGGGTCTCAACAGAAGGGCCATGAGGTTCAGAGAAAAGTCTCTGCAGGAGAAACACAAACAAACCATGGGGCCCGACACTCAACTCCACACTTAGAGAAGTCGAAAGGGGGGGGGGGACAGAGACAGAGACAGAGAGACCCAGAGAGACCCAGAGAGAGAGAGTCCCCGAGAGTTCCGCCGAGTATGGCACGCATCTGGAAGCTGTAGTAGTTTTACTGAGGCTATGGGATGCATGTGTGAACAAGGAACACCTTAAGCACTCCCCTGAGTCCACAGAGTGGGTGGCTTGCTCTTCACTGGTTGGAAAGCTCTATGGTAGAACTGCAGGCAGCCTGTCCGTCTGTCTGTCCTAGAGGCTGTGGTGAGGCTAGCGTGTGTCTGGCTCCAGGCCCGCCGGGAGTGAGGAGCAGCCGGGGAAGCATGGGGCTGTGACTCGGTAGCCGGCTGGGTGAGCTTCACTTATTCACACAGCTTTCCACTTCCCTTCCCAGCCTCGCCCCGGGGAAGCCCAGAGCCAGGCCGGTTTGCCTTTAACTTGGTCATTCCAGGAAGGCGTCCAGTTGCCTGGTAGTTACGGCGGGCCTGTAATAGCTAACGCGGCCCCACAGAGCTCTCTGAACGACTGCTTCTCCTGCCCCAAGAGAAGTCACGACGTGGGGGAGACGGCGGCGCTGGCAGAGTCGCTGCCCGCCGGGGAGACACGCAAGGTGTCCGGCCGAAGACCCTGCCACGGAGCGGGTGCGCCCGTGTCCCCCGCCCCGGGGGGCCTCGTGGATCATGACCACGCGCAGGTCAGGCAGAGACAGGCCGCTTTGGAGAGAAGTCCCCTGAGTGACAGCTGCCACCCCTTCCCTCTGGCCGGCTGCCCCTGTGACTTCTTCCCCCCGCTGAGCCCCCTGGAGCCCTTCCCCCAGCACACGCCGCTGGAACCACCCGTGACCCACGCCGCCGGCCACCCCACGTGGCCAAGCCCGGGCGCTGAGCTGTACGAGGAGAGAGGGCCTGCGGATTTCCACGGCTACGTGCCTTCCCCCACAGGCCCCGGGCCCCAGCAAGACCCCACAATGCTGGGCTACGGCGCCCACCCAGCCCTGCAGTACCCGCTGCCCCCCCGGGGGTACAAATGGGATCTGGATGAAGACATGATGTACACGGGTTTGGATGCCTTCAACAACGAGATGCTGCTCAACCTCTGTCCCTTCCGGTAACCTGCCGCCCCCCCCCCCGCATTCCCCCTTCTCCTGAGTTTGGGAGCTGGCTGGAAGATGTCCTTCCTTAGGAAAACGTTTCCAAAACGCAGAGCCGCTGCAGGCAGCACACGAAGCCTGCGTCGTACGTTCTCATCCTGAGCGCTCATCCGCTGAGGAATGGAGACGGGAGCGCCGTGGGTGAGCTGCCGCATCCCTGCTGCCTCCCCGGGCTTTGGGCTTTCAGAGGCTTTATCTGTTGGGTTTTCTTAGTCCACCGTACAAAGAAAATAGAGTAACTTAGAATTTCATCCACACATTCTCGGGAACTGAAATGAAGACACGGAGACAGAGGAAGCACCGTCTTCTTCCATGAAGTATTTAATGCTCTGACTGTGATGCGGTCCATTCATTAAAAATGTGCTTTTTAAAGCCGGGCGTCCGTGGCTCATGCCTGTAACCCTAGCTGTTCAAGAGGCTGAGATCTGAGGATCAAGGTCTGCAGTCAGCTGGGGCGGACAAATCTGAAAGACTCAGGCCAACAAACGCCCAGGAGTGGGGCTCAAGGGGCAGAACACAGCAGCCTGTAGTGAAAAGGCTATGCAAGAACATGAGGTCCTGAGTTCAAGCCCCACGACTGGCATCAAGAAAAAACAAAGTTTTCTAGTCAATTGTAAGACTTGTCAAGATGAGAATCATGACCCAACGGTATTATTTATAAAGCTAACGAGTGGCAAAACTCAGGGACACAGGAAGAGGACTCCAGTGGTGCTGTTTCTGTTTTCCTTCCCCCTCCCCTCCCTCCGGTCCCTTCACACTAGAGCTTACTTCTGACCCATTGACCTCCATTCTTTAGGGCATCTAACTTGGTGCCGGTTCATAATATGGGAGAAATGCTTTCTTAGGGGCGGAGGGCTAGGGCTTAGAGGTGGAGCCTGTATTTAGCTGTATGGGGCATGGGGTTTAAGACCCAGCAACAACAGAAAATAAGAAGGAGATGCCTCTGTACAGTTAGCATGGCCAAGTGGCCATGTATAAATGCTGAAGTCCTTTGGAATGAAGGCAAGCCCAGACCTAAACTCTGAAATGAACCATGTAATAAACAAATGTTTTAAAAAATAAATGATCTTTTTTTGTTTGTTTGGTAACGAATGCACACAGTTACAATATTCAAAAATAAAAGCAAGCTGGGCGCCGGTGGCTCACGCCTGTCATCCTAGCTACTCAGGAGGCTGAGATCTGAGGATCAAGGTTCAAAGCCAACCAGGCAGGAAAGTCCATGAGACTCTTATCTCCAATAAACCACCAGAAAACCGGAAGTGGCGCTGTGGCTCAAGTGGTAGAGCGCTACCCTTGAGCTGAACAGCTGAGGGGCAGCGCCCAGGCCCAGAGTTCAAGTCCCAGTGCTGGCACAAACAACAAAAAACCAGCATAATATTCCCAGTAGTTGGTTTTGATTGGCCTTCTGTGTTTCTTTACATTTGGGCTGCTTTAAGTCAATTATATACAATGAGCATTTCTCAGCCAAGCCCCTGGCTTATGATGGGGTTTTAATAAAAATGTGGTACGAATAAAATGGCTAAAGTAGGAACTAGTTGCACTGGCTGCTTTGTATAAACTTTCGCTAGGTTCTTGGAATCAGTCATTGCTTAGTAAACACAGTTAATACCATTTTATTTGGTAGAGTAGCTGACCCAATAACTATCACCAGGGCGAGTTTATTAATTGGTGCTCAGTGACACTTTCTTGTTTAGTTAATAGTTTTTGAGAGTAGAAGTTCAAACACCATAGCACCAACTATGTGGGGAATAAAATAAGAGGACCACAGTCCAGGATGGCCCAAAAAGAGAGGGAGACCCTAGCTTAAAAATATTCAGCACAGGGGCTGGGAAGGTGGCTCAGTGGTAGAGCTCTTGCCTTGCATGCCTGAGGCCCTGGGTTCCATTCCTCAGCGCCACATAAACAGAAAAAACCGGAAGTGGTGCTGTGGCTCAAGGGGTAGAGCGCTAGCCTTGAGCTGAAGAGCTGAGGGACAGCGCCCAGGCCCAGAGTTCAGGCCTCATGACCGACAAGATTATATATATATATATCTGGTACCGAGCTGGAGGTTCGGCACGAAGTGAATTCTGGGCTTAGTTCCGGTGTGTAGACACCTCCTTTTTCATTTTCATGAAATTTTATTGCAGTCTTCCCTGGAGCTTGCAAATAATTCGAGGCTCTCTCTGTTGGGGTGTATTTAGGACTCACACAAGGTCGTCTTTGATGTCTTTCGTATCTCCCCTCGGGAGCCTTTCCACGTCTTGTCCGCACGTGTGACCGGCTTGCAATCACAGAGCAGCAAGGCAAACCACACGACCACGTCTTCTGTGCCTACCATAGTAACAGCCACCCCAAACTCTGGCCCCACAGCCCTGGGGCGCACACGGGCCCCACAGCAAGTCCTACAGACCCAGGGAGGGGAAGGATACACCAGTCACACGTGGATTTACACTGGCTGTAACAACAAAGCCGCTCCTGACACGTGTTCTGCGAGTGCGTGGAAACACACGGATGTAACTCCCCTCTGGTGGGCAGGGAACTAAGAGCAGAAGGAAAAGGCAATAAAGCCCCTCCTCTGAAAACCCCTGTCAGCAGAGACCGGAAACTCGGATGTAGCCTGCGGTGGGCACAATGGAAGGAATGAGGAAACCACGCATTGGAAAACACAGCCACACACAAACCAAGACACGGCCTGCCTGTTCTGGCACGTGGAAGTATTTCCCCTCTGGTTACGGCTGGTGGTTCAGTTTCAGGTCTTACGCCACGGCCTTTGATCCACATACAAAATGAAAGACAGAGGTCGGCTCTCCACCGGCCGAGGGCGTCCAATCCACCCCCCCCCCCCCGTGCCATTCGGCAAGGGCAGAGCTTTATGCGGTGGGAGAGGCTTGGGAGGTCTGGGTCATGGGGGGGGAGGGGGGCACATTGGGTTAAGCGCCCTCTGTCACGCCACAGCCCAGAGGTCTGAGGACAGAGGGTGGATCAGGTGTGTGCGGTGGAATTCCCCTCAGGAAGACTCATGCTGTCATTTGCGAGGAAATAGATGGACCTAGAAGCCAGGCTCAAGGAGGCAAATGACCCATGTTTTCTTTCCTATATGGAAGTTAGATTTAAATCTGAGAACATCTACAGGCTGTAAGGATATACACCCACACAAGCTGACGGGGAGGGGCCAAAGGTGGAACTCCTCTGAACAGACAAGCTGTTGATCAAAATGAATACTGGAAAGTGGAAACATGTTTGGGGGGGGCTAAGGGAAGGGGCACGTAAATGGAGGGAGGTACGTGAGCAAACAGTCATTACATTCAACACTCACCATGTAAAGGTTGAACCACGCAACTTGAGAATAAGGGTGGGCGGGAGAAAAATCGAGGAGAAGGAAGTCAGGGACTCTGGTCAAGAAGCATTGTACTCATAGCCTGACGTGGGCTTCAAACCTCTTTGTACACCTTACTAGTAGTAGTAATTAATAATGAGTCCATTCACAAGCCGTCCAGTGGGATGTCTGTGGAGCCCCATAGATGAGAATGGGCAGAGGGCCTGACCTCCAGAGCCACGCAGACACAGATAGCTCCCATCCCAAGACAGCCGCCGTCAGGCCCCTAGGGGCTTGGAGACACACCATCATCCTTCTAAAGCCAGGCTGCTATGCAGACTTCAGGGCATTACCGCAGGGAGCGGCAGCCTGGGAGGATTGTGAAACTTTCCGGTCTTGCCAGTTGTCTGCCCTGTCGGGGTTTCCAGAACTCTTTTATCCTCACCCCTGCAGGGCCTGGGTGGTGGTGTGTGTGTGTGTGTGTGTGTGTGTGTGTGTACATGGGGAGTATGGCATTTCTCTTGCTATGCGGATCCTAGCCTCTCTGAATCTTACATGCATCCAGTTTCCTTCTTGTTGATTTCCATTGTTTTCCTACAACCACTTCACTTCAAAATACAGCTCTAGACAGAATGCTTTTGTTCTGGGGGGAGAGAGGGTAGGAGGGGGTCTCTATTCAGCTGTCATGATCTTGCCCACCTTGGAGTGACGCTCTAGATCAGGAATCCACGGGGACCCAGCCCATCATGGACATGGTGCAAAGAACCCTCCAGAAACCAAGAAGATGGGAAAGCAGCACCGAGGGGCTTCAGGGGTGCGAGCGTGGGTCTGGGGGATGAGGAAACGTCCTTAGAGCTAAAGGTCAAACTTAAAAACACATTCCCAGTCGCCGAGTCCAGTTTTACTGGCGGCCTGATGTTCGCTGAGTTGGACCTCAATAAATGAGGCCGTTTGCCCAAGGTCTCTCCATCTCCAGGGACCACAACCCAGTCCCAGGTAAGTGACTGCTCTGGGTGGATTTGTAGCCACTCACCAACACTGCTGAGCCTAGCAAAAAACCACAGGAAGGGAAGACAGGCAGTTCCAAGGTTGACCATCATCAAACAGAGACAGGATGGCTTCCCTCTGGCTCCTGCCCAGCTCTCCCACCCCCAAAGGCTCAACCCACCGCCCCCTTCCAATTCATTTCAAAGCAGAACATTCAGTTTCCTCAGCCAAGGCCAAGTGGCCAGATTAATTAATGGAGAAAGTGGATTTCTTGGGAAGTTGTTGGGTTCAGCATGACAGGACTTAGAGCCTGTCAAGAAATCAGGGTGTCTTTCCTTTCGTGTGTACTTCAGTTTAGAGTCTACTCTATTCTACTTGATTTAGATTCTGTTCTTTTGCAATGTTGAAAGTCAGTCAGAAAGATGAAGGTGTTGCTGTTCTCTTGGAAATGTGAAAAACAACTCCCCATACATGCATACCCACACACACATGCACACATATACACACAAACACATTAATATATATGCATATACATGAATGAACACACATCCACCCACATGCACACATGAACACATGCACACACACACTTCACAGATTCTAGAGCTGACTGGAAAGATAAGAACGAAGACAGCCTAGGACAAGAGTGCCACCTTGTGGCAAAACATGTTTTGCTTCACTTCTTTGAACCAAATATAGAAGTACTTTGACAGGGTCAAAGGTGACAGGTTCTGGCTGCTCAGCCCTCTGCGAGAATTCCCTCCGCTCATCTTCGGGCTTCCTAACGCAGGAGTTAGCCATGAATGACTTTTTCAGGGAATGTCCAACTTCAACCTTTGAAATGAAAGGCCAAGTTGGCTGTCACATTTGCCTTCTCGGAGGGGTGTCTTCCAGTTTTCCTTTTGTAGTCTCTATTTTGTGGTGCATTCTATTTCTTCTTCCTGAGTTTTATTCTACCTGCATTTAAAATGCCCTTCATGCCCCCCCCCCCCCATTTATGAGCTCAGTTCGAGTCTCCTGGTGGAAGATGAGTGGTCAGGACTTGTGGGCGGCGGGTGTGGGTGGAGTCGCCGTGGTGGGCTGGTGCAGCCAGGCAGGCCTCTTTCCAGCCTGAGGGATGGAAGGCTACCAACTTGGGCTCTGAGGACAGCCGGGCTGGGGTCTGTGTTCATGCCGTGTCTCGCCTTTGGCAGGAGGTGGGTGGGGTCGGCGGTGTTGGGCTGAGGGTTGTGAAACTTCGTAACCTCGCTCATGAATCCTGCAGTGCTGCTGTGTGGCTCATCAGCGGCGTCCTGGCGAATGGCGCGGAGAGCATCCCGCTCTCCCCTTCCTCCTCCATAAGTGGTGCGCAGCTGCTACCACCTCCCGCTGCTGGGACACGGGCGTTTCGGTCACGTGCTCCAGCCCCAGAGCCTGACCTGTGTGGCCAGGGCCTCCGCGCTTCTCCTTGTGCCTGCCTTGTTGCCACCAAACTGAGGACTGCAATTGCTATGGCAGGGCGGGGCCACGCCTGGCGTCAGGGGAGCCCGCCACACGGCCCCGGCTTCCTCAGGCTCTGACCCCCAGCAAGAGCGCGGCGCCGTGAGACGCAGAGAAGGCAGGAGGGAGAGGCCTCCCCTAAGAGTGAGAATCACCACGTGTGAGGACAGGGCAGACTCTGTCGGGCGAGGTGGGTTCCAGCTCTTTGCCATCCGCGCTCTAGCAGCGCGGAGTTCACCAGGCTTTACCGTGTCCACGCAGGAAGATGGCAGATTGCAGAGCAGGCGGGGACGTGGAAGGGAACAAGAGGGTGAGTGTAAGGCGTAATGAACGCACCCGTGATGTGTCACGGGAAGCCCCTCTGCCCAAGGTGCACCGGGCTCCACGGTGCGGCCTCCAGTGGGAGGCAGGCAGACACGCACACAGGAAAAGCACGAGTGAAGTCTGCATTATTTAAAGTGGGAAGAACGAGTGTAATGGTGAGCGAGCCTGAAACCCTTTATGCATCTCCATAGCCACGAGAAATAAACTGTAGATATGAAAACTGTATATATGTAACATTTACCCTTTGATTCAGTAATTTTACTTGGAAAGAATTCCAGGGCAGTGAAGGCCTATTTGAAGACTGAGGCACAGTTCCATTCACTCCAGAAATGCAGAAAACCAAAATATCTAAAAGCTTACAATTGGACCATGAAGCCATTAAATCTACTCACAAGTGATGTACATAGCCAAGCACTGGTGGCTCACGCCTGTCATCCTAGCTACTCAAGAGGCTGAGTTCAAAGCCAGCCTGGGCAGAAAAGTCCACAAGATTCTTACTAACCACGAAAAAACCAAAAGTGGCGCTGTGGCTCAAGTGGTAGAGCGCTAGCCTTGAGCTAAAGAGCCAACTTATGAGGTTTATTCTATACACTGAGGGCCTTGCACGTGCCAGGCTGGTGCTCTAACACTGGAGCCAAGCCCCAGTTGTATTTTTCACTGTGTGCAGGTGTTTTATGTGATCCTCAAACCACCTCAGAGAGGGGTGAGCTTTTACTGAGGGTGACCGAGACCGTTCTTAGAGGGCTGAGGGGCTGTTTCCCCTTCCACATCTGCACGCTGCACATAGCTACGCTCTGGCTGATTCTACGGAGGCCAGTGATGGACTGAGGCGGAGGTTTTGAGCCGCTGCTGGCTGTCCCCAAGCTGCTGAAACAGAAACAATCACCCACATTGCTTTCTTTGAAAGGAACATCATTTTTAAATCTTTATTGGTTAAACAGCTTCAAACAAACCCTGACAGGTTTTCGCATTGTGAGCTTTAGTGCAGAGACACTAAGTCATGCGGGAAGAGCACTAGCGCAGGAGCCCCCATGCGGGAAAGTACTGGGGTGATCGGGCGGTGACTTGCGCGACAGAAATCTACCCACGAATCTGCTTGGAAAATGACATGATTTTCGCCTTGTATGAAGGTATTTTGCAACATAAATGTGCTTAAACTTACATTTTAAAACACAACATCCCAAGAATCAACAATCCCCTTAAATAAAAAAAATAATTTATACTCTTCTTAAAGGAATTCCAACAATTTAAAATAAGTTTCGATTCCATATATATGTACATTTATAACTTAGGTGCTCTTCTGTGCTCTGCTCATGCCGTCACGCGGAGAGCGCTGCACGGGGCTCACAGCGGCCGCTCTGACAGGGCCGTGTAGCTCCTCACTCTGGCAAAGAACAGCGGTGTGTACATCTTGTCGATCTCAAAAGCACTCACTGCCGTCTCCCCGGTGGCTCTGGACAGAGAGGACAAGGAAACTTCAACTCAAGCTCCAAGCTCCAAGCTCCGGCGCGCGCAGGGCAAAGGGAATGCGACATAACGAGGCGCATTCTGAAACAACTGTGGCAAAGCACAAGGAACAGCCGCTCCGAATACCCCCCGCCAGGCCAGCCCCGGCCCACGCCCACCTTGCTTCTTGGCTTTTCCCAAGTACCCCAACCTCTACATCGAGACCGTGCACTTTTGGCAAGCTTGCTTCCTTTTCATGTGATATTCTGGTATTTTCTCTATTCTTCAGAAACCATTTGCTATGGCTGTATAACGTTACGTGGTCTGCCTGCACAATAATTTAATAATGCTCCTTTTGGAGATTTAGGTTCTCTCTGATATTTGGCAATTAATATGCCTTAAAAATTATGCCCTTTAAACATACTCCTAAGGTGTCTAAGTCAAAGGCAATAAGCCATTTAAGGTTTGAATTAAGAGGTGCTTCCCAATGCGCTGCGTTCTTAGAGCTGAGTGTGTGTGTGACTGCTGTGCACGGCGGGCGGGCACCAGCGCTGCCACAGCCGCTCCGCCCTCTCCACCCCGAGAGACGAGGACTGCTAAAATACTGTGACAACTCCACAGCTTCGCAAGCACCTACTAAACCCACAGATGAGTCGAGTTTCCCAGGCCGCCAGGCCTGAGCCAAAAGCCACTGTCCAGAGCGTGGCTCCACTTAAACGTTGTTTCTTTCTTGGAAAAAAGGGAGGAGGGAGGGGGGGAAAGAGGGAGGGAGGGAGAGAGAGAGAGAGAGATTACGGAGAAAGACAAAAAGGAGAGAGGTGGACAGGTAAGTGTCTGCACTGGCTTCAGGCCTCTGGATACGTGGAGAAGCCCGTCTGGCAGAAATGGTGGTGCCGGCGGAAAGACGGTTTGGGGCTGACTGATACTTCTTGGCAGCGGGAATCTGTGTGCTCTCGTACCGTAGTACTGCTCTCCCGGTCCACCGACCACCCTCCCCCGGGACCCGCCTGAAAATCTCTCTGGAATTTACCAGAATCCCTACCCTTGAGCTCTTCTCAGCAAAAGTCCACCCTGGCCTTGTTGGAAAGCCCAGAAGGACATCATAAATCCCAAACTGAGCAGTCCCAGGCTCCGCTCTATTTAAATCCAATCCCCCCAACCCACCCCACCCCCGCCGCCCCACCCAATCCTCACCCCTCCAACTCGGCTGGGTAGTACTGGGAATCCCTCCGAGCAGAACTGAGTCCTGACCTCACCTGCGGGGCTCTGCCTCCCCTCCTTTGGTCTGCTTCCTCTTTCCTGACACTTGGGACTTGGAATCAAAGTGAGCAGACAGCCTGGGCGGCATACCTGCCAGCTTTAATGTCACGTGTCACACGCACGCGCACGCGCCATCTCCCAACTCCCGTTCTAACCACTCCTTCTCTCAGGCTCCTCCTCACTGAACAGCAAAGAGCTCCACACGGGAATCCCCGACGGATCTGACTTTGGAGTACACGAGCTCCTGGTTTTTAGCACCTGATTTTTCTAACTAGGGTTTACTGTAATCACATACAATCCCTAAAGACAAAGCAAATGCAGAGAAAAACTGCCTGGGACCACCAGGGGCCCAGCCCGCTGCGCTCGGTGCCGAGCTGGCTGAAGGCCCATGCAGGGACACCACCATCCTGCCACGCCGAAGCCACGGCGGACGCTGGTGCCCCACCCCCTCCCACAAGGGCTGTCCTCCCCGGCAACAGGGCTGCCTCGTGGCTTGGGTTTGTAACACTGACCCGGAGGAATCCAACCCCGCAGAACCCGTGGGCTAGCCTGCACCCCTAGCGCCATGCCCACCCACCTGTATGTCATGTGACAGGAATGATGGATCCAGACAAGCTTGTTGAACCTCTGGTGGCCGCTGGAACACAGCTGCAGCCCCACATGAAAGCTGTGGTCTGCCTCCTGCACGGGAACTCGGCGGAAGTATCTGTACTTGTAGTCCAGTGGTTTCTGTGGCAGACAAGGGTGGGCCGTTACCAGACGGCACTTCACGTCTGTGCAAATGTGTGAGGGACACTGTTCCTGCCTGGTCCCCAGTCACAGTCTCACAGTCTAGGAAGATTGACACGTGCTAACGGGAAGGGGTCTCCCAACTTTCCTGCCTGGGCTGGCCTTGAACCTTGATCCTCTTCATCTCCACCTCCCAAGTGGCTATGATGATAGGAGTGAGCCAGGGACACCTGGCTTCCCAGACACTTTTGACCTCAAGAAAGCCAGGATCATGATCACAAAGCAACAACCTCTGTCCCTCAGAAAGGAGCTGGCCACCCAGGAGCTTACAAGCGGGAGGCAGAGAAGCGAACGGGAGGCCCCAAGCTGACAGGACTCACAGACAGAGCCATGCCCTAACCACACTGGCACACGATGCTAAAAGGGTTCCATGCCCAACGAGTGGCCGAGGACAGTGCACTGCCCCGCTCCTCACACCTGCAGCCCGGGTGCAGCTCGACTCAGCAGGACAGAAGAAACGCACTACACACAAGCTCTGTAAACACTAGGGCTTCCATCTGTTAGAAGAACACACAGGAATGCAATGATAGTCATTCCAGCAACCACATCTGCTGGGCTTTGTTTTCCTTTCGAAAGAACAAGGAGAGAGGATTACTTCCAGTAGGTAAGCTTATTCTCCACGGGGAAGGAGGCCCACTCTGGGAGGAGCTGGTGGGGTGGGGGTGGGGTGCACAGGCACATCTGCGAAGCAGCCTCCGTGTCACAGACAGTGGGAAAGGAACGTGTGAAGCACGACGCTGCCTGGTACTGCAAGGAGCCCCTGCACTGCCGTGCCACACGTAAAAGCCCGAACCACAATAGGAAAACCATCCAGGGAAGATCAATATGCGCTCCAACAGAAGCCCCCATGCTCACGCTGTAATCCTAGCTACTTGGGACACTGAGATGTGAGGAATGCAATTCAAAGACAACCTGAGCAGGAATGTCTGTGAGACTCTCATTTCCCGTTAACCACCAAAAAGACAGACGTGGAGCTGTGGCTCAAGAGGTAGAGTGCTAGCCTTCACGAAAAGGCTAAGGGACAGTGCTCAGGCCCTGAGTTCAAGCCCTGAGTACTGGCACGCATGCACACATACACACCACCAACAAAACAAAAACAAACTCTCCACCTGTCTTCAGAGACACCTGCATGTCCCTACGTAATGGTGTCAGGAACGCACAGTGCTCTGAGCTTTCTAGCTGACAGCACAGGGGATGGGAAGCAAGATGGGAGGCGCTCCATTCAGGCACTCACTTCTTCTTTCTTCTTAGTTATCACAGCAAATACTTTGGTCTGATTGTCTGTGTCTTGTGACAAACGATAATGACCCAGCAGAATAGCATCAGTCCTGAAAAATAACATGTTAAACCTATTAGCCATGTATTTATGTCTTCAAGGCAATCATGAATTATGACAACAGCCACCAACTGCCCAGAAAAGAATCGGCTAGGATGGAGTAAACCTCCATTCCACAGCCCTACAGGAGAGAGAGGCTGGAGGCTGCACAGGCCTTCCCAGGTCCGCCTCCAGCCCCTGCCACTGCGTCCTAAAACCATCCGGAGCAAGCCGGGAGCCCTGGCTGTGCTCACGGAGAATGAGGCCTGCCTGGCAAGAAGGCTGTAGCAACACTACCTGGTACTCCTGGTTCTCAGCCGGGGCACGATGGCCGGGGGCTCCTCGGGGGTGGTCAGCATCATCACCTGGCCGTCTGGAAAGAACCTGATGTACCTGCAGAAGAGGGAGCACAACACACAGAGCACCAATCACACCCCGGGGCCAGTACCCGAAGCCGCCCCATGGGTCGGGGAACGGGTGAGCCATCAGTAAACAGGCTCAGCCTGTGGCTCATACCTGTCATCCTAGCTACACAGGAGGCTGAGATCTGAGGATCGTAGTTTGAAGCCAGCCCAGGCAAGCAAAGTCCAACAGATTATTATCTCCAATTAACCACAAAAAAAGCTGGAAGTGGAGCTGTGGTTCAAGTGGTAGATCGCTACCTTAAGCAAAAGAGCTCAGGGACAGAGCACAGGCCCTGAGTTCGAGCCCCAGGACTAACACAACAAACAAAAAACCTTAGCGGCTTGAGAGGGATGGGGCAGAAATGATGAGAGGGTAACACCCGTCAAGATTCACTGTATTTGTGGGGCTGGGAAGGTGGCTCACTGGTAGAGCACTTGCCTGGCATGCCTGAGGCCCTGGGTTCAATTCCTTAGCACCACATAAGCAAAAAGAAAAAAGCCGGAAGTGGCGCTGTGGCTCAAGTGGTAGAGCGCTAGCCTTGAGCTGAAGAGCTGAGGGACAGCGCCCAGGCCCAGAGTTCAGGCCCCACGACCGGACCCAAAAAAAAAAAAGACTCACTGTATTTGTGAACTCCTTGAAGCTGATGTGATAACAGAGCTGCAGGCATTTCATCTTCCTTAGAGGGAAGTGGCACTTTCAAATTTCCTCACATAAAGCTTTTTTGTGTTTGCCTGAAGTGCTAGTGAATGCCACACACAAGTGAGCGCCATCAGTGTGCACACGCAGCTATTCCTAAGTGACAACAGTCCTGTGCACATGGGCGGGGGGCAGGGAGGGCTCCACGCCGCAATCAGAGGCTGCAGAGAATGACACGGTGGGGGCTCACCTTTTGGGTTTGGGGGGGGCGTGTGGGGACAAACCAAAAGTGAGGCAGGACAAAGTGTAAGTGCCATGCTATCAGTGGAGAGCGGGCCTGGCGGCAGCTCATGCCAGACATACCTGTAGTACTCCACCTGGTGCCAGGCTCGGTAGAAACCATCCAGAGACTGCTCCCCCTGGCGGATGTAGGTGGTTTTGCTGATATACACACCTAGGGAGAAAGTAAGATTTTTTTTTTCAAGGAGTGTAAGAAAACTGAAAGTTACCAGCACGTAACCCATGTTCAGCTTTATTTTTTATTGAGTTTTCCTTTCGATCTGCTTCTTGGGTCCGCTGTGGAAGAGTAAGCTATGCACTATCGACCACATGAGCACAGAAGAGTCTTCCCCTAAGCTCTGAGCAGGCTTACCATCAAACCGGACGCGAGGCCGCTCTAGGAACATCTCTCTCCAGGACGTGTAGGGGAAACGTTTAATGCAGCTTCTGCCCCACACTTTCAAACAAGCCAGGCGCCATATTTCAGGATCTCTAGGTAAAAAAGCACAATGGCAATAAATACACGCTACCTTCCTCCGGGCAGATACACCGTTTGCTACCGGCGGTTTTCAGTCCAACGGTGCTACGTGCAAGGCGTGGGCAGAGCCTCAACGGCAAGGCAGAGGCTCGGCCCTCTTCTGTGCCAGCACTGCGGCCTCGACTCAGGGCCAGGGCACGGAGCTTAGTTTTCTTCACTTAAGGCTGGTGTTCTACCAGTTGAGCCACACCCCCACTTTCAGATTTTTGCTGCTTCGTTGGAGATAAAAGTCTCTGAAACTTTTCTGCGTAGGCTGGCTTTGCACCAGCCTTCTTTTCAAGAGGAAGAAAAACTGAGGTCAGTACCTGGCACAGATGTAGAATCCTCTGCACACCAAGGACAGCTGCTCTAGTGACCTGAGGTCCAAGTCGCTGGACACCACCCACCGGAAGATGTACATCAGGACCTCCATTGGCAGTGCTGCGCAAGACATCTCCGTGACTCGCCTACCCGTGCTGCACCTTCACATGCAGTCCCAGTACCGCGCAGACCTCACGCAGCCCCAGCACCACCCAGACCTCACACAGCCCCAGTACTGTGCAGACCTCACGCAGCCCCAGCACTGCGCAGACCTCACGCAGCCCCAGCACCGCGCAGACCTCACGCAGCCCCAGCACCATCCAGAGCTCACGCAGCCCCAGCACCATCCAGACCTCACGCAGCCCCAGCACCGCGCAGACCTCACGCAGCCCCAGCACCACCCAGAGCTCACGCAGCCCCAGCACCGCGCAGACCTCACGCAGCCCCAGCACCGCGCAGACCTCACGCAGCCCCAGCACCGCGCAGACCTCACACA